TGCTGACAAATATGTGGAACAACTGGAACTTTCATTCATTGCTGATGGGAATGCAAAATGGTACAGCCATTTTTTAAGACAGTCTGGCAGTTTCTTACAAAACTAAACAAACTCTTACCATACGATCCAGCAACCATGCTCCTTGGTATTTACCCAAATGCACTGAAAATTTATGTCCACACAAAACTCTGCACCCAGATGTTTACAGTAGCTTTATTCATAATTGCCGAAACTTGAAAGCAACTACGGTGTCCTTCAGTAGGTGAATGGATAAAAAAACTGAGGTACATCCAGACAATGAAATATTATTCAATCCTAAAAAGAAATGAGCTATCAAGCCATGAAAAGGCATGGAGAAAACTCAAGTGCATCTTAGTATGTAGTAGAAGTTGATCTGAAAAGATTGTATACTGTATGATTCCAACTATATGACATTCTGGAAAAGGCAAAACTATGGAGTTAGTAAAAATATCAATGGTTGCCATGGGTGAGGAGAGAGGGAAGAATAAATAGTTAGAGCACAGAGGATTTTTAGGGCGGTGATACTATACTGTATTTTTAGGGCAGTGAAAATATAATGGTGGATAGATGTCATTACATATTAGTCAAAACTCATAGAATGTTCAACACCAAGAGAGAAGCCTAATGTAAACTCTGGACTTTGAATGATAATGATGTATCAGTGCAGGTTCACTGATGGTAACAAATGTTCTACTGCTATGTGAGATGTTGATTGTGGAGGAGGTTGTTTGTGTGTATAGGGGGGCAGGGGCGGGAAGTATATGGGAACTCTGTATATTCTACTCGATTTTACTGTAAACCTAAAACTACTCTAAAAATAAAGTCTATTTTTTAATTTAAAAAGTAAAATGATGGAAAAATATATACCGTACTAACACAAATCAAAAGAAATCTTCAGTGCCTATTTTAATATCAGACAAAGTATATTTTATCATTATACTTCTATTTCTACATGATGTACACCTGAAATTTATACAATGTTATAAACCAATGTTACCACAATAAACAAACAGAAAGTATATTTTAGAGCAAAGAATATTACCAGGAATAAAGATTGCCATTTAATACTGAGACAGAGGTCAATTAATCAAGACATAGAAGTTTAATTATTCATATCCCGAATAACAGAGGTTTAAAATACATGAAGCAAAATTTGATAGAGCTGCAAGAAGAAATAAACAAACAAAAAATTATAATTAGGGACTTAAATACCTCTTTCTCAATAATTGATAGAACAAGTAGACAAAAATTTGTCAGAAATGTAGTAGATCTGAAGAACACTATGAACCAATTTGACATAATTGACATTTATAGATCACTTTGACCAAAAATATCAGAATACTCCTTCTTTTAAAATGTACAAAAATATTTACCAAGTTAGGCCATATTCTGGGCCATAACTTAAGTCTCAATAAATTTTAAAGGATTCATGTCATACAGAGATTTCTACATAAATGTTCATAGCAACTTTTTTATGATAGCCAAAGACTGGAAACAACTAAAATTTCCCTTAGCAGATGAATTGATCAGTAAATTGTGGCATATACATACAATGGAATATGCTTCAGTAAAAAGAAGGAATGCACTATTGATACAACATGATAATTATCAAAGTATGCTGAGTGAAAGAAGTCAACAAAAAAAGAGTAGATACTACATGATTCAACTTATACAAAACTCCAGAAAATGCAAACTAATGTATAGGAATAGAAAGCAGATAAGCAGTCGTCTGGGGAGGGAGGATGTGTGGAGGGATGGGAAAAGGGGATTATCAAGGAACACAGAACTTTTGGAGGCTGATGGATACATTCACTGTCTTTATTGTGATGATGTTTTCCTGGTTGAATATATATGTCAAAATTTACCAAATTGTATGCTTTAAATACGTACAGTTTGTTGTATGTTAATTATACCACAAGGAAGTTATTTAAAAAATCTGAAAGATCAAAATAAATGTATTTTAAACTAACATCAATGTCCTTTAAAAAAAATCTAAAGATATCTTAATAATTTGACACCCAATGCAGAACTGTGAGGATCTTGGGGTAATCATAGATGCTATTGACACAAATCAGTCAGCTGACCAAGATTACCTGCCTCTTTAGACAGCGTTAGGCATGTGCTAGGACACTCCATCCATGTCAGGGTTTTCCCTTGGTCGCCGTATATTACATTGGTCAGGATATGATTTCTCATGCAACTGGAACTAAAACTTTAACTGAATTTGATGGTATAGATCTAGTTAGAGATTAAAATTGCATAAGACATCTCTTTAGTATTTATAGCTTAAGTGAAAAATAATTTAAAACTTCACTAATGTTTAATGCATAGCTGCTTTATATGTAATTTTTGTTGTCTCCCTGTTCTGATTTCCAGAATATGCAAAAGTTATCACTCTTGACAAAGAAGTCCCTAAGAGATGTCCAATGTAGATTATTTTCATGATTCTTATTCTCTCCAAAACATAGAATAGAAAAATTTCACCCAAGGGGTTCTTTCCAGCGGTGAATATACACCATGGTGAGGGAAAGCTCTTCCACAGATACTGTCTTCACCCAACCATGGATGTCATCTCAAGCATACATCAGAAGAGAAGAGGGAAAAACAATCTGATATTAGAGGAAATTCGTGTTTAGTAAGTTATCTCATGCTCTTTGTGACTCTCTTCTTTAAAATATTTTTTTTAATATTTCTATGTATATGTTTCATGCATGCCCACTTGCTTGGAGTAGAGTATGACTTGTTTATCTCTGACTTTTAAAGGAGATAATTTACAGGTTTTCTCCTCCTATCCTATTCCTACTGGAATTTCTATGTTCTCTTTGGCAGTGGTGTACATGCACCATAATACAGTGCCTCAGAGGTGCACTCAGGCCTGCTTTGGGAGATCACAGTTCTCTGACAGCTACTTGATATTAGCAACTTCCAGCTATCCTGCCTGAAATGGTCCTTGCCATTTAAAAAGATAAAGTTTTTCATGTCGGATAGAGTACTGTTTGCTAAGATAACTTTTAACACAGAGGTAGAAGGAAGAAAAGGTATATGTCCAGTGATAAGTTATATGAAACTCAGTTACTATAGAAATAAGATTCAAAATCATAACCTGAGAATAAAAGGCAGGGAGCTCAAGCTAATGGAAGAAACTTCGACTACCTCCCTGAGTACCGCAAACAGTGAAGATCTCAGACAATCTATTAAATTCTCTGAGTCCAAGTTTCTTCTTGTAAAAATATAAATGTTGAGAATCTCACAGTTCTAGGATTATTATTATTAAAAAAATCTTAATGGAAGGCATTGAATCTAGAAGGGGGTGAAAAATGTGTTGCTGTATTTTAACACTCCTAAAAGAGTAACTCAATTTGTCTCTTTTCCTTAATTTTTCACTTTGACTAATCCCAAAGTTATCATTATCCCCTTTGTGAAAATTCTCCCTGAGTTACAGGTAAGAATTCCAAAGGTACTTTAGTAGAATGTGCTATTGCCTCTTGTAGGTCTTCTTAAAATACTAATACCAATTCTGGACAAAAGCAGAAGTGAAGTGTGAAAAAGTTGTTAAGCTACTAGAAATAAAGCAGTGTGTCTGGTAATTCTTTTGCATCTGCTCCTCCTATAGGATTGCTGAGTATGTGCTTGCTAATTTAGAGAAAACATAAGAAGTAGGTATTTTAAAGAATGTTGATTCTATATATTTTGCTTACAGAAGGTAGTTGGCTGTTCACTAAGATTGTTGCCAGTAAGCTTTTGAAATTGTACTGTTTTAAGTTGCATTTTAATGAATAAAGAAGGGAAATAACTAATATTTATTAAACATGCACTTAGTACCAGAAATGTTCATGTGTTTCTGTATATTTTCTGACCCATCTTCACAAGTCTATTAGATTGAGTGCTCTCTTTTCACAGAAAATGAGATAAATGAGAGAAAAATGAAAACAGAAATAGATTTAGCTCAAGGTCACAAAGTCAACAAGTAATACAGTTAGATTTCAGACCAGATCTGACTGCCCATCAAGGGATGAATGGATAAAGAAGATGTGGTATATACACACCACAGAATACTACTCAACCATAAGAAATGATGAAATCTAGCCATTTATGACAAGATGGATGGACCTTGAGAATATTATGCTAAGAGAAATAAGTCAGAGGGAGAAAGTCAAATACTATATGATCTTACTCATAAGTAGAAGATAAAAACAACAACAAACAATCATATAGAGACAGAGATTGGAACGGTGGTTACCAGAGGGGAAAGGAGGAGGGAGGAGGGCGAAAGGGATGATTAGGCACATGTGTGTGGTTATGGATTGTAATTAGTCTTTGGGTGGTGAACATAATGTAATCTATACAGAAATTGAAATACAATGATTTACATTTGAAATTTATATAATGTTATAAACCAATGTTACTGTAATAAAAAAAATTAAAAAAAACTAAAAAAAATTTTAAAAGTCCATGGTTTTTCTACTAATTGTCCTAAATATTGGATTAATGATGATAAGCAATATAATTAATCCACCAATATTATGAAATATTAACAATTTCAAAACTGATGAAGAACTGTATTATTTTTTATTGGTAAATTGTTCTCTAGAAATGTACATATTCCTCTTTTAGTAAATTCCTCTCTCAAACACAGTTGAAATAGTGCTTTTGCTTTTAGCTATCTTCTATGTCATTTATTGTAACAGATACAGAACTAATTATTAAAAACTAATCCTGGAATGGTTTGTCTTGACAAAAATTAAGTTTCAAGGTAAAAGTCAAATTGTTCAAGTTTCTCAGGGGACATGTCTATTGAGTATAATATCAGGATATTTTCTTTAGAAACTAAACAAATCTCTATTATGGAGGATACGTTTATTTGTAACTTGTGAGACTGTTATCACATGTCCCCTTTTCCACAGCAAATGTTTGATTTACCTAATTTCTTTAGGAAGATCTTTGTTTCCATCCTTAATCTATGCTGCTGACTTCTCAGCATGAGGGAAGGGGAAACTAGTGCTCTACGTCTGTAAAAATTTGCATTTTTCTAACTTTTATGGCAACTTTTTGAAAGCTAGGGATTTCCTATCATCCACTAATATAATTGAAGGTAAATATTTTCTATTGATAAGCTTGAGTTGTAAGAAGCTTCTATTCAGAGTTCACATCAGAATCTGAGTCTGAGTTACCTTCCACTTTCATTAATCCCTTTCTCACATAACTCTCCACTGACATCTTTTCTTTTTTTTTTTTTTTTGTATTTTTTTGTTTATTGCAGTAACATTGGTTTATAACATTGTATAAATTTCAGGTGTACATCGTTATGCTTCTATTTCTGCATAGATTACATCATGTTCACCACCCAAATACTAATTACAACCCACCACCACACACATGTGCCGAATTATCCGTTTCGCTCTCCTCCGTCCCCCCTTCCCCTCTGGTAACCACTCTGTCTCTATGTGTTTGTTTGTTGTTGTTATTATCTACTACTTAATGAGTGAGATCATACAGTATTTGACCTTCTCCCTCTGACTTATTTCACTTTGCATAAGTGAAATACCCTCAATGTCCATCCATGTTGTCACAAATGGCTAGATTTCATCGTTTCTTATGGCTGAGTAGTATTCCATTGTGTATATATACCACAGCTTCTTTATCCATTCGTCCCTTGATGGGCACTTAGGTTGAATACACTTAGTTTACTAAACAAAACTTTTTTAATTGTGATCTTAATTAATGTTAAATTATGTGCTTGATTTTGCATCAAATTATCAAGCCAAGGTATTTATTATATGGCTTTCTATATAGCTTCTCTCCTAAAGATTGTCCCAACATGTATTTTAGAGTAATAAGTAATAAGTAAAATTTAGTTTTATGATGTCTTATAGAATAAGATCAATTGAGGCTTGAAGGAATTATTACTTATAATACAGACAAACTATAATTTTGTATCATGTCATTTGTTCTGGATTTCGATATCTGTTCACCATCATCTTCCTAGGTAGATGACTTAAATTTTAGTTATTATTGTAATGGTTGTTGGTGGTGCCTCACCCAGATTCTTTTTATTGGAGTGGTGGACTGAAGCTACTTTCCAGGTGACACCACAATAACTTTTTTTAGCCTTTCCTTTTGCTGTCCTGCTTCCTTCATTCGCTTTTGTGAAAATACCTTCTCAATTAAACATTTGCATAAGAATCCCATCCCAAATTCTACTTCTTGGAAAGCCAGTCTTAGATGTTTAGCTTCTCTTTGGGGCATAATACCATGAATATTTTGCCAAGATTTGTCTTCCCAATTATACTTTTCTCTTTCAGTTACAGATGTTAATTTTCAATGAAATTTAAATTTCAATGAAATAGAATTTCAGCCAAATTCTAAAAATTAAGTACCCTTTCCCACACCGCTAACTGATAATCTATCCTCTCTCTAGGTCGTTTTAGAGGACACATTGAGTAAAATGGATAAAAGAATAGGACTACAGTGTCAGAATCTGTGCTTCCGGGACTTTGCCACTCATGGAATGTGCAGGTGTTATTCTTAATGATATTTTCTATGCTTTACCTGATCATTGTATCTGGAAATATTGTCATCATGATCTTAATCATCACTGACCCTCATCTCCATTCCCCCATGTACTTCTTGTTGGCCAACCTGTCTTTTGTTGATATGTGGCTTTCTTTAGTCACCACTCCTAAGATGATTGCAGACTTTCTGAGGGAGAACAAGACTATTTTCTTTGGAGGCTGCATGTGCCAGATCCTCTTTGTGCATTTTGTTGGAGGGGGTGAGATAGTGCAATTTGTGCTAATGGCCTGTGACCGCTATGTGGCCATCTGCAAGCCACTCCACTATCCTACCATTATGAGCCTGCACAAATGCTTTGGGCTAGTGGTGACTTCCTGGGCCATTGGCTTTGTGCACGCGGTGAGTCAAATGGTTGTGATTGTGCAATTGCCTTTCTGTGGCCCCAGGGAAATCGACAGCTTCTTCTGTGATATACCACTGGTAATTAAGCTTGCCTGCATAGCGTCCTACAACTTGGGGGTATTAATGAATGCTGATAGTGTGGTTCTGGCCATGACCTGCTTTGTGCTGTTGCTCATATCCTACACATACATTCGTCTCACTGTCCGCCAAAGCTCTAATACAGGTGTGTCTAAGGCCCTCTCCACCTGTACTGCCCACATCTCAGTGGTGGTGCTCTTCTTTGGGCCCTGAATCTTCATCTATGTGTGGCCACTCAGCATCACCTGCGTGGACAAGTTTCTTGCTGTGTTTTACTCTGTTATTACACCTCTCCTAAATCCAGCCATTTGTACTCTGAGAAATAAAGAGATTAAAAATGCTATGAAGAGATTCAGAAGCTACTACATGCATTCCAAGGGAAATATTTAATGCCCAAAAACCTCACTGTAAGCACTTCAAATTGACAATACATTGACCTTGTAAAATAGGTTGAAAATTCTAAGCATTCAGTTTATATCTACATGTTATACCTGTCTCCAAGGGCAGTAATAAGATTAATGTAATTCAAGGAATTTCAACATTTATTAATCAACCAGTAGAACACTATGAAATATTCCGCCCAAATCCAAACACTAATGTTGCTTCTTTATGAGGGAATTATCTAATCAGTCTTCCTAGGCCTTTAACTATGTTAAATGAGAACCTGAAGTTCATTCAAAAAAGTCATACATCCATCCTAGTGGATAGCATCTTGAGAAAACTTCTTGAATTTTCTTCTAACTCTGGAAAACGTTTCTGTAACATTGCCTCTTTCCCTCAAACCTTTCACTTAACCTCTTGTCAAGAGGCCACTGAATTATTATGTTTTTCTTTAACTTAGCTTCCTACCTAAATACTAATAGGATGCAGTACAGGAAAAAGAGAGAATGAAATACCAGTGGTAAGTACATAGGGAGTAACAGTGAAAATTATTCTGTGTTTGGTTTCCATTAACTCAATAATGGCTAAAAAAAGGAAGAAAAAGTAAAACCTACTGATATTTCCCTTGGTTATCACCATCTCAAGGACTAATATTTATGCTTATACTATTATTAACCATTTGTGGAAAAGTCCTGAAATGTAAGCTCCTTAAGAGCAGAAACTGTGCCATACCTGGTTAATTCTTGAAACTGCAGTACTTAGCACAGTGGTTAATATATAATAAACACTCAGCAAATAGATTTTAATGTATATGTAGTAGCCAATTTTTCTATTCAAATACCCATAATATTTATTGACTGTGGTTTATTTAAATACAGTCTTTTATCGTTAAGAAAAGTTCCTAAAAGTTTCAAATTCTAACTAAAACTTACTTTCTTTCTCCCAGAATTATAAATTAAGTGAATTGAAATTTAGTTGTAAAAACTCACAATAAAAGTCCTAAAAAAATACGGCACATATGAGGTTTATATTTCTCGTAATATGGGAACAAAATACAACAAAATGACAGAATAAAAATAATGCACTTATTATCCTTCAATGCCTAGTATATGCGATTTTGTTATATGTATTACTTTAAATGCTTTTATTATTATTCCCAAATTGTGAATAAGAAATGAGACTCAGAAATATGAATTAAAGTTCCTCAAGATAACACAGCCTTATTTTTTTTCTCTTAAGGATACAAAGATCAATTTGATTCCTAAGACTGTTCATTTATTAACCGACACTGCACAATACAATAGAAAATTATTTCCTACAAAGAAAGTGAAAGAGTAAATTATACCAAGAATAAAATACTAGAGTATCTCTATTAACCTGAAAAAATAAAAAATATATTGGAAATAGCATAATTTGCAATCTAATTTGATCATGCAGTGTAAATTGTGAATGAGAGAAACATCCCTAAGGACATGCCTGCACACAGATAGTACTAAAGGATTAACAGTCAACCATTAGGCTGTCTCTGTCTTGGGCTGTAGCCTCAATTCGTTCTCAGGGATATATCCATTCATTCACTGCATTGTCATTACTGTATGTTTTAAGTAAATTTTTTCCTACCCAGTATGCTGAGTATCTTTTTATCTGTCTGTCCCCATAAGAGAAACCTGAGTTTTAGGTAATATTTTTATGGATTTCCTAGTATTCTGAAAGTAGAAGGGCATAAGAATGAAAAATGCAGCTTATACTGTCCTCTACTATAATTTGCCACAACAAAATCCAAGTAGTACATGCTCTCAACTCAAACATTTTAGTCAATTTCTGCCATGCTATCCAAGCTTAGTATTTACACTTTTATCAGATAAGCAAATTTTCCTTAAGTGTCCCTTATTTCTATCAGAATCAGCTTTACAGATATGAATCTAGAGAACTTGTAGTTATGTATATTCTTTAGCAAAACTCAAATGGCCAATAGTCAGTCTTAATTTCCAATTTAATGAAAATACTTTCTACTGTGGTAGAAACGTTCTTTCCTTAGGCACCAAGACATTTGACCCAGCAGAGGTCAAAGTGTTGGGGATGGGAAGCAAAAATTATGTGAGTTGGTTATTAGGTATAACATGAGGATCTACTACCACTTCCACATCTCGATTCCCAAATTCATAGAATGAAGATCTCATCTGCTAAAAGAGCCATACAGAGTATTCAGTATGTCATTCTTCCATTCTAAGAGATCAGCTGTTTATGAGCAATCAGGTATGTGTTAAGATCAGTGAATTCCATGGTCATAAGCCCATTGCTGCACTTGTTTTTCTGTAAAGTAAATTCCTTGATCAGACGCAATGCTGTTCAGAATACCACGATTTTGATAAAGCATTTCTTAAATTCATGGATGGTAGTACAAGCTGAAGTATTATAGTTAGGGAAAAAAACGCATATACAGAATACATGTTCATTCCAATAAGGTCAAAATTCTACTTCCTCCATGATGGAAAGTTCTCAATATAATTAACCTGCCTCCATTCCTATGATCCCCATAGTAATCTGTGCCATATTAGTGGCTGAGCACTAAAGGGGCTTATTAGTACTAATAGATCAAGCTTTGATAGGAACTCTATGTTGTTTAGCAACACATGATCTCCAACCCTGGTCATTTTATATAGGAATCCATTCAGCAAGCATAGGGGTGGCTGGAAAAAGAGGTTAAAATGCCCAGAGCTTGTCATTTGTCTATTTGATTACTGAAGTTTCCTCTGTAGTAGATGCCCTATGGTGTGCACTCACTCACATCTATATTTTCATAATCTGTGCCTATTCTGACAGATCCATCTTCAGAATTCTTCCCCATGAATTCTTTCTTACCAGGCTTCCCATTCTATTCATTCTAAGCCCAAATCATCTAGCCAAACCATTAGTAAGCGTTCATGAACCATGCTTCTAGCCAAACAAAGTGGACAACCAAAATGCACTACTTTCATTTCTTCCCAGTGAAAGAATTTCTCCTCACTACTGTCCTTCAGGGCTATAATCATAACACTAACCCCAACTAAGTAATACGTAATCATAATACTTCACTAAATTGGGGCTATGAAGCTACAAATTTTCACTTTTAGTTGCTGCCAATATGTTAGGCAAAACCAACTGTATATTCAGGTCCAAATTTTACATTTTCAGTCCACTGGTTATAAGGAACGCCCCATGTAGCCATCGATGTACATTGAAGGAGAGATGGCAATTGCGCATTAGTAGTTGTTCAAGGAGTTGAGTCAAAAGCTAATGCAACTTTTTTATGCCTCTGGACCTGCTAAGCCTAATCTTCTATGTAACATTTCCGATTGATGAAATAACTCTGTTTTTCATCTCAATTTTATGGCTTGAAGAGTGAGATAGTATCCAGTTCTTGATGAGTAGCTGAAATCACACAATCACTTGAGGCCCAAGTTTAGGTATTTAATATCTACCAGAGCCCAGTAGGATGCTAACCATTGGACCCCTAGAAACTTTATTGAGGTGTTTTACCTCTCACCATCTGGTTCAGATATGTCTAAGGCAGACAGAATACTTGCTTTTTCCTCATCATTGTGTCTAACCAGAATTGCCGCATCAATGTAGCAGATCAATACGATATTTTGTGAAATGCCTGATGATCAAGATTTCTGCAGAGTATACTATGACAGATGGATGAATTTTATGGTTTATGAACAGTATCTCTGTAAAAGATTATATAGATATTACTGTAAATATATTTATATATAGCCTTTTAAATACTGTCAAGTCTGTTAACTCTACAAATAAGAGAGGTATAACTTTAAGTTAATAAATACAAGTATAAGGATGCCTCCACGAAACAATCACAAGATAGCTTACTTATTACATTAAGTTAACATCAAAACATCTCACAATGTAATACCAAAAAGAAATATTTGGCAAAAGAAAGATATCCACATAACTCCTACTTGGTTCCACATAGTAATGCAAAGGTAGATTGTGTGATTATTTTCTGAATCATGAATGCTATGATTATTCAGAGGAAAAAAGAAAGCCTTCACTCAGATCCTTCTGTTCCTGTCTTTTCCTTCCTTCTTCTCCCATCTTTTATAACTCCATGCTGGTCATACTTCATTTAGAGCATCAAACTTAGAGCATAGAACCTGAAGTTCACTCAAGGAGAGTAAAGAAACTTAGAATCATATTACATGAGGTACCCTTGAAAGAATTCAGAATTGCTTAGCCTAAAGCAAAAAAGGAATGTGAAATATATTTATGGAGTTGGGGAAAATTATAACTAAGATCCTTTCCCCCAATTCCTATGCGGTGGTGCAGAGGTTCTGATCAGAGGGAGAGACAGGCTTTACAGACAAAAAGCCCTGCAGCTGTATCTGAGGTGGCCTACTTCCTTTAGAACACAGTATGGAGAATTCCATGACTAAGGACTTTTTCAAAAAACATGGATATCTTTGTGGATAGAATTTAATAGGGTGTTGGAATTTCCATGATACTGGTAGCTATAAGCAAAACAACAGAGAAGCCAGAAATTTGACAGAAAAAAACAACCAAGAAGAACACTCCTGAGATTACAGTTAACCCAGGGGGTCAGTAAGGCTATTTGCATGGGCTAGGCTGCACTCACTCAGGTGTAATGAGGCAGACTTGAAAGCATCTCCCAAGCCACACATAGATCCAATGAAGAGTGATGGCTGATGGGCACAGAGATGTAAGCACAATGTCTGAAAAAACGCTGCCTGAAAAATAAGCTACTCTGATCTAGGAGAAACTCTCAGGAAGCTAACATTTAAAAAAAACTACAAACATCTCTAGAACTTTGGAAGACTGTGTGCATGTTTAATTCCAAAAATGTTCTCATTCCTTGTTAAGAAAAGCCCTGAATTTCATAAATTAATAAGCCTGCAACAAACAAAATTAAATTTTGTGTCTGATTTCAGCAAAATTACTTCTGTAACTACAATAAACAGAGTATTATTTAAAAGCTGTCATAGAATTTTTGTGGT